CCTTCTGGCGATTAAGGACGTTCACTTTCCTCACTTTGCAATATTTATCACGTTCACTGCCTCTACTCTGCAACACACCTCACTTTAACTGCTTCCACTCTGCAATATTTCACGTTCACTGGCAGTAAGCGAGCAGTGACCTGGTGTGAAAGTGTAAAATGTGTAGAGTTCAATTATTGGCGACCAGCAACGCTCTGACCTGCCTCTTAGGGAAGTTGGCTTTGATATTATACTCGAAGGTTCCTGTGTTGATAGTCTCTCTCTCTCTCTCTCTCTCTCTCTCTCTCTCTCTCTCTCTCTCTCTCTCTCTCTCTCTCTCTTCATCCTTTCTCTATTTAACTATCGTCTTACACACTCAATACAATTCTACAAACTCTAATACAACACAAACAAACACAATCATACAACATCAACACACAAACAAACACAATCATACACACACACTCCTACACACAAACAAACACAATCATACACACACTCATACACAAACAAACACAATCATACACACACTTTACACACTCTCAACATACAGCCAGACGTGAATAAGTCATATCACGTCTCTCTGTATCTCGTAATTCAGAGAGGTGTCATAAACCTCGCTTCATATACACTACGTTCCATTGTCTCGTCTATATTACCGCATGCTGACGTAGTGTGTGTGTGTGTGTGTCTCTCTCTCTCACTATCTCCCTCTCCCTCTCCCTCTCCCTCTCCCTCTCCCTATCCCTCTCCCTCTCCCTCTCCCTCCCCCTCCCCCTCCTCTCCCTCTCCTCTCCCTCCCCTATCCTCTCCCTCTCCCTCTCCCTCTCCCTCCCTCTCCCTATCCCTCTCCTCTCCCTATCCTTTCTCCCTCTCACTAACTCTCCTCTCCTCTCCTCTCCCTCTCCCTCTCCCTCTCTCCTCCCTCACTCTCTCCCTCACGCCATAACTCCTACCTCTGTGCTTTAAGTAAACCACACAAAAATCATTTCGGTATGACAATCACCACGTAACTAGAACCTCACCAAGTTATTACCCAATTTACAGCCAATTTACCTGAAAAAAAAACTCTACCTGTTATTTTTGTTTTGTCATTTTTGTACTTTAGAACGATCTAGTCTCGTAGTTATACAGGTAATAAAAGCTATATTATTAATACCTGACAAAATTACCCTTTGTTGACTCGTAAACAATGATTTGATATTGTTTGTTTGTTTGTGTGGATGTTTTGGTGTGTGTGTGTGTGTGTGTGTGATTGCGCGCACACACACACACACACACCCATCACTCCTCCGATAAATAACAAATAACACAGAAGAACGCGAGAATTGTGACTTACTACCAAGAGTACAATACCTTCACTCTTATCAAGGTGTAACGCCGTGATTACTCCTCTTACCTGTCACACCCCCAGACAGGTAGACATACAATTACACACCTTGAAATATACCAGACTCTACTAAGTAATATATGGCTTCTAACTATATACAGTATCTATATTATTTTATATTATGTGCTATAAGAAATTTGATAAAATAATAGAAATTAATATTATACGTCAGGAAGATAAATGGAAGTTGTATGAAGATGTATGAATGATGAATGGGTGTATTTTACAGCTCTATTAAACCTTCAGATGGTATAGTGTAAATTGATTGGGGCTCATAAGGCAACCCAGATACTCCCAGGTACAGTACTAGAGACGTTAGTGTGGGTTAGGTTAGGTTCACCCACGCACCATAACTATCTGCTATTATACTACTACTACTAATAATAATAATACAAAAACTACTACTACTGCTACTACTACTACTACTACTGCTACTACTACTACTAATAATAATAATACAAAAACTACTACTGCTACTACTACTACTACTACTGCTACTACTACTACTACTGCTGCTACTACTACTAACAATAATAATAAAATAATAATAACAATAACAATAATTCACCCCCTCACACAGCACATTAAACAGTTTACACCCGGGTGGCGGCAGAGCAATTTACTAATATTAATTTATGTAAACGATACGACCCACAACTTTTGAAATATTGCCTAACAAAAATTGATATAATTCATGTGGAAGCAGATTATATTATCATCGTTCCAATTAATTATTTATTATTATTATTATACTTATTATTATTATTATTATTATTATTATTATTATTATTATTATTATTATTGTCATTGTCATTGTTATCATTAAAATTAACTCCAAGG